TACTTTATATATAAATGAAGATATTTCTCAATTAAAATATTTTTTTTTCATTTTAATTCAATAATTTTGCATTTTTAAAGACTTTTATACGCTTTATATGAACAAATCTTTTCTAGTGGATAAAAAGTATAGATTTACTTTTGCAAGTAAAGATACCCTATTGTCTTTTACGGAAAAAATGATTGCAATTTTAAACAAATAAAACTTTATCAAATAAATTGTGTGCCCGTTTATTCTCTTAATTTTTTAATTTTCAATTTAAATTAACCTTTTGACACGTCTTTAAGGTGTTTATAAAAATCCTTTAATGAAGAGAGTTCAATTTAATTATATTTTAGAAAAGGAGTCTCCATAACATTAAGTAATACACTACTTTAGTTTTGAAGAGATTCCTTTAAAAAAGGATTACTTCACTTTAAAAAAAAAAAAAAACACACGAATAGGGACATATTCAGCTGGAATTGATTCGAAATTAAGCAAGAAATAAACAGACCCTTTTGGGACTAGTATTTCTTCAGAATATATAGAATGGTAATGGATTCTGATACAAGTATAAAGTTAGAGAACTTAAGAACTATCAGTCATTCTGTATGCAAATAAAAGAACTGTAGAAAATGAAAAAAGATAAAACTGTCTGCATCTATTCTTTAAAATAATAATGAGAAAAGACCTGTCAAAATTGACTTAAACGGCTTTATGGAACAAAGTATGAGTTCTCAAATGCATTCATGCCTCTTATAAATGAGAACCCATTAAAATTAATGTTTCATCAAAGCTAATAATAATAATAATAATAATATATATATATATATATATATATATATATATATATATATATATATATATATAGCTGATTAATGTTACCTTCAGCTTTCCGACATGAAGAGTGCCCTGCCTATGAAACTCTGGAGTCGGAAAGCTGATGGTAACCTCAATCAGCTAAGTGGTAAACTTTTACTCATATTAATTATATATATATATATATATATATATATGAAAGTAGACACTGACATCAACACCGAACGGCGACAGTCTGTTTCATGCTTGAACACAATCTTCAGACCATGTGTGTTGCATTTTGGTACGACTATTTTATATTAAGATCATGCATGAAACAGACTTCAGTGTTAACTTTTATATTTATGAATGCCCCATCCCTGATATTGTGCACCCATAAATTAAAAGTCTATATTAAAACTATATATATATATATATTTATATATATATATATATAATGTAGACTATATTTATGGGTGCACAATATCAGGGATGGATATATATATATATATATGAATTACTTAATTTTATATATATATATATATATATATATAAAATTAAGTAATTCATCGAGTCTAGAAGAAACCTCAACAGAAAGCACTGGACGGCCGTTTCGTCCTATATTTGGGACTCATCAACAGTGCACATCCACTACCGAGAATTGAAACCCTGGCAGTTATGTTTTCAAGCAAACATCATACCAACTGTTCCCACGGGCCTCGGTGACGAGGTAGCAAATCAGATTCAATATAGCGCTGCTTGCTCACATATTCCGTGGTGGAACTCAACTGAGTTTCTCTATAACCATAGGACTGTACCCCCAGGAGCCACAACTACTATCATCAAGCCGCTCAAACTTGAGCTTTAGAAACCGGTTCAAGCAATGATATTCAAGTGATAGAAATTGGCTCCTATCTTACTACGATATTTTTCAAGATTGTGGTTTGGTTTCTACGTTACCCTTTCTACGGAAAGAGCCAAAATTTTACTTACATAGCCTATCAAGCAGGACGATTGAGGTAAGTTCCTTAGAACGTGCATATTTTTGGGGGGTTTACCTCTTGAGGTTTCCCCTCTCGGTAGATAGCTGAGCGTGCGTGTAAGATCTGTCGACTCTTAGAGGTGGTACAGTTCCGTTCCTATCGTCGCACTTTCTGCAAAAATTAGCACGTTGCAAGCTATAAGGTTTTGAAATTTTAAATTAATCTGCATTCTACAGTGGAAATCCTGAATTTTAACGTGACAACAGCATCGTGAGGTCAAAACGTAACGACGTTTCGAGAGCGTCATCAGAGACTTCTACATCTCAGTAGCTGTCTGACTATTGACACTAGTGGTGCTAAGTAACCTACATGTCTTTAGAATGCGATTGTCGATCTGCTATTTTGCAGAGACTTCGCGCCGGTCACAAAGCCAAGGACATTATTGAATATGTTTAAATACCATAAAACCATGGTCTATGACCTTGTAAAAGCATATGCGGCCTCATATGCCGCGGACAATTTGAGTCCAGAACTCATAAGAATCTCTCTGGCATCACCAGAACGCCTGCGTTCGTCGTCGACATTGCCGAGGTTGTCAAGGAGAAACCCAGCAAAAACAGGATGAAAATCGCCAAGAAATGTTCCCCGTAAGGCGTAATGTCAAGGAAGATTTGAATTATAAATCTTTTGAGCTGAAGAGGTGCCACTTGCTCACCGTACCAATGGTCGCCCGAATTATGGCCTCTGTCATCACTAGTCTTCAGTTCTCTCGACTATTTTGTGTGGGGCGTATTGGAGAGAATGGTGAACAGCAAGCTCTACAACGCCAAGGAGACTCTCAAGGTAGCCATCAGGGACGATATGGGCAACATAGTCAGGGACGCCATCTCCAAGCTTTCGGTCCTGTCTGAGGAAGATGGAGGCCACATAGAGTCACTTTTGTACTTTACATGTATCTAAGTTTTAATTTATTAATTTGTTTTATGAAAATCTGTTTTTATTACACATTAATTTTTTCCGGATTTATCTACGACACACTGTATGTAACTTTTTAAGGACTTGCAAGCTATAAGATTTTGAAAATTTAACTTACCATATATTGTAATTGAGATTTTTTTTTCACGGTCCATCTTGTTCATGCAGTCTCGTGTCATTACCAAGCGACAACTGAGGAATATAAAGCCATGACGTCATTCTGTTTAATTACACTATATTTTATTTTATTATAATATTTATTAAAACATTGTAATATTAATGTAATATTTATTATAATATATTTTCCATTATATTAGTGAGTCCAACGCTTGTTTTGAAAAGTGAGAGACGTTTACAATTTTTGTAATTATTACAGAAGTTATACCTATAATCAAGGGCAATGCATACTACCTTCGAACTCAACGATAGATTGGGGGCCCCGGGCAGTTCTTTGTGACCCTCGTTATCTTAACAACAATTGATTTTTTTCTACCTACATTTATATACATTACAAATTAAAATGAAGACAACTGAGTATTAATAGAACAAAATTTTTAATTCTGTTTTTTTTTTCACATCGAAATCCGTGAATATCTTTAAATCATGCTAAGTCGCGAAAAAATATGACATAAAATTCATTATTTTTTATCCATAATGTTGAATTTATTATTATTATTCAATTTTTTAAGAGGAAAAATCTCAATTTTATGCTAAAAATTGCCGCAAAACATTCTTAATTTATTTAAGATGGAATGATCTATTATGTCAAGTCTCTACTTTGTATTTAGATACATTGTATTTATTTTCAATCTAGTTGAATTGTTCACCTATATTGCATATGATCCATTATTGTACATAATTAAGTTACAATGAAATTTATATATTATATGAGTCGAACTTTATGAAAATTGAGATGTAGAAAGAGTGCGTGGGGTCTGTATCATAGATTCATTAGGATACGAAATACTCGCAACGACCCCTACAGAAAACAGTTACGCTTGTCTTAATTACTGACCAAAACTCATACATTTTGTCTCGTGTCAATGCTTTCTTGATACAAAACCATTTCCTTTGCAACAGTAGATGCACTTACAATGCTTTTACTATAGTAAATACTCATACAAAGTTTTCTACAGTGAATGCATCTACAACGCTTCTTCTGTAGGTAATACACTTTTTTATCTAATCATTTCACCCCAAACAAGGCGTTAATGGGACTAAGAATCAAGTTACTGGGAGTGAAAGAGAATGAAAAAGATTTAGTGAGGAGAAAGGACAATAAAAGAACAGGTGAAAATGCCACTAAAACACAATGGGAGTGAAAGAGAATGAGAAGACGAAAGTGAAAAGAAAGAACAATAAAAAAACAGGGTTCAGGAATTGAGAAGATAGCGATGATTACTAAGACTCAAGGGGTTACTGAGAGTGAAAGAGAGTGAGAAGACTTTAGTGAGAAGAAAAGACAATAAAAAAACAGAGTTTAAGAAGACATTGATTCATGTTGCATTTAAATTTCTAAAACAAGTACGTCAGGGAAGTAGGAAGCAGTAAGATGAGAAGTGCGAGAAAAGAAACTTTTAGAAAAGAATTTACAATTTCTCTAGTAAAACGATGAGACCTAATTTCCAATCTAGTTGTATGCTTAAATTCATGCGATCGAGTTATCAAAGACGCCATGAAATTATCTAGAGAAAAGACAGAGATATGCCACGTCACGTTATTGGGATAGTGACTGAAGTCGAGATGCCAGATCAGGACCGACATTATTACAGATCCTTCTTTGGATTTAGTCAAGAATTTCGAGATATATATCCGGATCACCAGATTAAATATGGCAGCAATAATTCGCGGAAGGCGAATGGAAAATTTATAAATGTGCAAGATGGATTCCACTTCATGTAAGTAGAAAACATGAGTCTAAAAAGAGTCAATGAGTTGCTCTCCTGGTGGTTAGCATCAGCCATACTGATGATGTGCAAAAATAGTAGCTCTTTTATAATCAAGGGAAAGTAGTTTCGTTTTGGAGGTGTTAAAATTTACAAGACATTTCTTGCCCCAGTTAACAACTGTTTGTCGGTCATTTTCGAGAGCAGCTGCCAATTTTACTTTGTCGGATTTACAATAGCAAACGCACTTAAAATAATTTTGCTACAGTAAATGTACATACGACGCTTTCGAAACAGAAGCTGGATTTAAAATGCTTTTTCTATAATCAATGCACTTGCACTATTTTTCTCAGTAAATGCATCTATGACATTACAGTAAATGCAATTACAAGTATATTCCTATCTATCTATCTATCTATCTATCTATCTATCTATCTATCTCTGTCTCTTCATATCGTTCTTTGTTTCTTCTCTCTCTCTCTCTCTCTCTCTCTTCTATGCATTTATGTTGGTATCTCGTTTATATGTTAATCTGGACAGATATCTCTGTTCCTCCTATCTATCTATCTATCTATCTATCTATCTATCTATGTTTTTTATCGCCGTCTCTTCATATCGCTCTTTCTTTCTCTCTCTCATCTATGCATTTGTGTTGGTATCTTTGTTTATATATATATATATATATATATATATATATATATATATATATATCGATTTAATCTATACAGATCTCTCTGTCCCTCCTATCTATCTATCTATCTATCTATCTATCTATCTATCTATCTATCTATCTGAAACTGTTCATATCTAGCTATTTATTTGTTCTCTCACTGTATATATATATATATATATATATATATATATATATATATATATATATATATATATATATATGGTTTTACGAGTGTTCTTAAAGCGTACGTTGGTATTTGTATTTTCAAATTTTCCCAGACACGTTGTTAATCGGATTTTAATATACGCGTTTGATGATGTACACACGGCTCGCCAGAAGGCAGTCGTTTAAGAAAACACACGCTGCCCTCTCTTGTATATGTTCTTTTACATATGTGTGTGTGTGTGTGTGTGTGTGTGTGTGTGTGTGTGCGTCTCTTTACAGATTGGCATTTACATCCCCAATATGATACTATCCCAGCCCACCCCTTTCTTTCCACGTAGTTTAAGGGCATGTATTCAGCAGGCGTTTGCCAACGTTTCCATTCAAATGTTTTCGGTAAATTTGCTCTTTGTTCTTCAGTGCGGTACTATCAACTGTCCTCTCCCCCATCGCTCAACCCGCCCTGGAACATATTCATCCCACCACCCGCTGGTGATACATGCAAGAAATTAAGAATTTTTCGCGCCGTGCCAACCGCGGCAACTGACACCGTATGCTGTGGCTAGAATAAAGATATACAATGGCTCCGAAGGGTTTCCAAATCAACATGTCACATCGATAGAGGAAAAAAAAGTTAGTAATCTGCGTGGCTTAGCGGAAAGTTGTTTGGAAATTTTTAAACGTTGAACAAAGGATGGGTAAATTCGCCACGAATAAAGGCGAAAGAATTGGGATGCGGTCAGGGGTATCAATTTGATTGACTCGTAAACAGTGTCCTCGGGGAAGGGATCAAGACAGTGAGTAGGGAAATGCTTGAGGATAGAGCGCGTGGCATGAAATTATAACAAAAACCAACATTTAGTACACATACTAATAAAAGGTTGCTCAGAAAGTCACATCGTATTTTTATGAAGAAAAAAATGTAGCCGTAAAAATATAATTAACTTAAATTTTATTATTCAATAACATAATCGCCATCATTTCGAGCAAGTGCAGTATAAAGAAATCTTAAATTTCTCGCCAATAAAACCTTTGTGTTTTTGATGAAAAAAAAGCAAGAAAAAAAGCGGAAATGACATTTTACATATTTCTGAATTATATATATATATATATATATATATATATATATAATATATATATGAACATTAAGAAGTCAACACTCAGAGGCGACAGGCTGTTTCATGCTAGACACAATGACTATTACGTCCAGCATGAAACAGCCTGTCGCCTCTGAGTGTTGATTTCAATGTTCACTTTTAAATTTATATTTACATACGGTCTGATATTGAGCACTTTTATCCCATAAATATAGCACACCTTTAAACAATATTTCTTCATATATATATATATATATATATATATATATATATATATATATAAATTTATATTAGTGTATCAATTTACATGCCTGTTCAGAGATTCTATCTCTGATGCTTATAATAAACCCGCTATATATATTGGTTTTACTACAACTACGCTCTCCCGTAGACTTACCTGTCACCCTTCTGATCTTAGTTCTATTAAACAACATTGCTTAGAAAAACATAGCCATGTACATAATATTAGACAGATATTAGTTGATAACACAAAATTAGTCACACATACACACAGTAAAAAGAACCTTCAGATATTGGAGGCCATTTACATTAAAACGAAGCAACCCACACTCAATAAAATCACATTTCAAACAAGTCACAACATATTGCATTGCATCGGGACATTGGTTCTGTTGTAATACTTCGGTTTATCGCCTGGTGTGACGTTATAGAACCGCATCTTGAACATACGATCTGCGTCTGCTATTCCGTGACCGTTATCGTCGCATAGCAATCTTCTATGTCAAAATAACAAAATATCATCTTTGACGGTGGATATTTTTGTTTCGTGTCTGTATAATCACTCTGTGGATGGCTCCTGTGAGCCGAAAAGCTTACAACGAACTTGGACAATTTTTGTCTTTATTTTCACCAGAAATTAAAGCCAACATTCAAACATTAGAGCGGTTCATGATCAGACATAATAGACATTCATTGTCTGTTATATTTAATGATATATATATATATATATATATATATATATATATATATATATATATATATATATTATTTATCCGAATATTATAACATAAATATGTTATAAAATCACTACAAAAATATAGCCGAAGACACCAACACTTCTGGTGTCTTATCAAGTGATGGTGTTCTACATTCAACATCAACACTTGATAAGACACAGAAGTGTTGAAACAAATGGCTATTTTTAGTAGTGATTTTATAACATATTTATGTTATAATATTCGAATAAATAATTATATTTGCTCTTTGTATTGAGCACTCTTTTTAGAATAGTATTTGTTGCTTATTGGAATTTATTCCGTATACACCAATCCTACAGTTGGGTTTATATATATATATATATATATATATATATATATATATATATATATATATTATAATATTTTTTACAAAATATGATTCCTTCGCTACATAAGAGTTCTCATGTTTCAAAAACGAGAGCCGAAACCATCAATATAATTATTAAAATTAAGTTGAATCAAGGTGTTGTGTCCCGTTTAATCCTCAAGCGAAAATTTAGGAATAAGCTATGTTGTGGTCTGCGCGTGTTTATAAGTATGGTCCATTGCAACATTAATTACTATGGAAACGGCTATGCCGGCCATCTTGGTTAGGTGGTCAGACAGTTAATTCTTATCTACAGATTCGTCACCTTCGGAAAGGTTATGCCAAAGTAGAGTGGGGTATCTATCTATCTATCTATCTATCTATCTATCTTGATCTGCTCATTATCTATGTGTCTATCTATTTATCTATCTATCTATTATTATTATTATTAGATGTATTAAAGACTTAACAAGTTGGATTTATCAAATCTGTCATTGTTTCACTTTCTGTGATGTAAGAATATCTTTATGGCTACAGTTGAACTGGCTTCTCGAACTTTCCTCCGGCTCCTTGCTTTCCAGTCAACTTTGATCTTCGTAAATTAAATGCAATGTGAATCATTACCTCCTGCCTTCTTAAATTCTCTTCTTTTATTGTTCTCCTCCCTTAATAATGTTTCTTTTTCTTATATACTTTCACACTCTTTAACCTCCTGCCTCTTAGTGACTTCGTCGCTTTGGATGAAATTATTGAAAAAAGTATTTAGTATGCACTAAAGCGAAAAAAGGTTGGAATGTTTCATTGTCAGAAATGAAGTCGAATATTACTAAGTAATAATCTAAATACATTGCCAACAGTTTTGACATAAAAATGCATTGAAAATCAGTGTCAAGAATAAAAGCAAACTTTACTATTAGAATAACACATTTATATAGACAATGTAAAGCCGATGCTAATAATTTTACTGTAAATCAGGAAGGGAGTGATTGTCAGGAAGCGGAAATGAAAGCTTTTAGAAAATAAATTCACCGCAAGCAAAAGGCGATAAAGCTACTAAGACGCGTTACGGTTATTGAGTGAAGGAAGTCAATTGAGTGAAGGAAAACAATCGAGTGAAGGAAGGCAATCGAGTGAAGGAAAACAATCGAGTGAAGGAAGGCAATCGAGTGAAGGAAAACAATCGAGTGAAGGAAAACAATCGAGTGAAGGAAGGCAATCGAGTGAAGGAAAACAATCGAGTGAAGGAAAACAATCGAGTGAAGGAAGGCAATCGAGTGAAGGAAAACAATCGAGTGAAGGAAAACAATCGAGTGAAGGAAGGCAATCGAGTGAAGGAAAACAATCGAGTGAAGGAAGGCAATCGAGTGAAGGAAGGCAATCAAGTGAAGGAAAACAATCGAGTGAAGGAAGGCAATCGAGTGAAGGAAAAAAAGGAAAAACAATCGAGGACAATCGAGTGAAGGAAAAAGAATCGAGTGAAGGAAGGCAATCGAGTGAAGGAAAACAATCGAGTGAAGGAAGGCAATCGAGTGAAGGAAGGCAATCAGGAAGGCAATGAAGGAAAACAATCGATTGAAGGAAAACAATCGAGTGAAGGAAAACAATCGATTGAAGGAGAAAACAATCGAGTGAAGGAAAACAATCGAGTGAAGGAGGAAGGCAATCAGTGAAGGAAAACAATCGAGTGAAGGAAAACAATCGAGTGAAGGAAGGCAATCGAGTGAAGGAAAACAATCGAGTGAAGGAAAACAATCGAGTGAAGGAAGGCAATCGAGTGAAGGAAAACAATCGAGTGAAGGAAAACAATCGAGTGAAGGAAGGCAATCGAGTGAAGGAAGGTAATCAAGTGAAGGAAAACAATCGAGTGAAGGAAGGCAATCGAGTGAAGGAGGAAAACAATCGAGTGAAGGAAGGCAACGGAGAAGGAAATCCAATGAAGGAAGGCAATCGAGTGACCGAGGAAAACAATCGAGTGAAGGAAGGCAATCAGTGAAGGAAAACAATCGTGTGAAGGAAGGCAATCAGTGAAGGAAAACAATCGAGTGAAGGAAGGCAATCAGTGAAGGAAAACAATCGAGTGAAGGAAGGCAATCGAGTGAAGGGAAAACAATCGAGTGAAAGGAAAACAATCAGAGTGAAGGAAGGCAATCAGTGAAGGAAGGCAATCGAGTGAAGGAAGGCAAAGGACAAAACATCGAGTGAAGAAAAGGCAATCGAGTGAAGGAAGGCAATCAAGTGAAGGAAAACAATCGAGTGAAGGAAGGCAATCGAGTGAAGGAAAACAATCGAGTGAAGGAAAACAATCGAGTTAAGGAAGGCAATCGAGTGAAGGAAGGCAATCGAGTGAAGGAAGGAAAAAGGGAAGGCAAGTGAAGGAAAACAATCAGTGAAGGAAAGGCAATCGAGGAAGGAAGGCACCGAGTGAAGGAAAGGCAATCGGAAGGCAATGAAGGAAAACAATCACCGAGTGAAGGAAGGCAATCAGAAGGAAAGGCACCGAGTGAAGGAAAACAATCAGTGAAGTGGAACAATCGAGTGAAGGAAGGCAATCACCGAGTGAAGGAAAACAATCGAGTGAAGGAAAACAATCGAGTGAAGGAAAACAATCGAGTGAAGGAAAACAATCGAGTGAAGGAAAACAATCGAGTGAAGGAAGGCAATCGAGGAAGGAAAATAACGAAGGAAAACAATCGAGTGAAGGGAAGGCAAAACAATCGAGTGAAGGAAGGCAATCGAATGAAGGAAAACAACCGAGTGAAGGAAGGCAATCGGAAAACAACCGAAAGGGAAGGCAATCAAGTGAAAGAAAACAATCGAGTGAAGGAAGGCAATCGAGTGAAGGAAAACAATCGAGTGAAGGAAAACAATCGAGTGAAGGAAGGCAATCGAGTGAAGGAAGGCAATCAAGTGAAGGAAAACAATCGAGTGAAGGAAGGCAATCGAGTGAAGGAAAACAATCGAGTGAAGGAAGGCAATCGAGTGAAGGAAAACAATCGAGTGAAGGAAAACAATCAAGTGAAGGAAAACAATCACCGGAGTGAAGGAAAACAATCGTGAAGGAAGGAAAATCAATCGAGTGAAGGAAGGCAATCGAGTGAAGGAAGTCAATCAAGTGAAGGAAATCAATCGAGTGAAGAAGGAAGGCAATCGAGTGAAGGAAAACAATCCAAGTGAAGGAAAAAACAATCGAGTGAAGGAAGGTAATCGAGTGAAGGAAAACAATCGAGTGAAGGAAAACAATCGAGTGAAGGAAGGCAATCGAGTGAAGGAAAACAATCGAGTGAAGGAAGGCAATCGAGTGAAGGAAAACAATCGAGTGAAGGAAAACAATCGAGTGAAGGAAAACAATCGAGTGAAGGAAGGCAATCGAAGGAAGGCACCGGAGGAAGGAAACAATTGAGTGAAGGAAGGAATGTAAACAATCGAGTGAAGGAAAACAATCGAGTGAAAGGAAGGCAATCAAGTGAAAGAAAACAATCAGTGAAGAAAAACAATCGATTGAAGGAAAACAATTGAGTGAAGGAAGGCAATCGAGTGAAGGAAAACAATCAGTGAAGGGAAAAAGGAAAGCACCAATCGAAAACAATTGAATGAAGGGAAATCGAATCACCGAGTGAAGGAAAAAAAACAATTGAAGTGAAGGAAGGCAAAGTGAAGGAAAACAATCGAAGGAATCAGTGAAAGGAAAACAATCGAGTGAAGGAAGAAAAACAATCAGTGAAGGAAGGCAATCGAGTGAAGGAAAACAATCAGTGAAGGAAGGCAATCGAGTGAAGGCACTGAGAAAACAATCGGTGAAGGAAAACAATCGAGTGAAGGAAGGCAATCAGTGAAGGAAAACAATCGAATGAAGGAAAACAATCAAGGAAAACAATTGTGAAGGAAGGCAATCGAGTGAAGGAAGGAAAATTTGGCAATCAGTGAAGGAAAAACAATCGAGTGAAGGAAAATAATCAGTGAAGGAAGGCAATCGAGTGAAGGAAAACAATCCGAGTGAAGGAAGGCAATCGAGTGAAGGAAAACAATCGAGGAAGGAAACAATGAGTGAAGGAAAATAATTGAGTGAAGGAAGGCAATCAGTGAAGGAAAACAATCAAGTGAAGGAAGGCAATCGCAATCGTGAAGGAAAACAATCAGTGAAGGAAAACAATCCGAGTGAAGGAAGGCAATCAAGTGAAGGAAGGCAATCGAGGAAGTGAAGGAAAACAATCAGTGAAGGAAAACAATCAGTGAAGGTAAACAATCAAGTGAAGGAAAACAATCGAGTAAAGGAAGGCAATCGAGTGAAGGAAAACAATCGAAGTGAAGGAAAACAATCGAGTGAAGGAAAACAATCGAGTGAAGGAAAACAAAACTATCGAGTGAAGGAAGGCAATCAAGTGAAGGAAAAAAACAATCGAGTGAAGGAAGGCAGTGAAGGAAAAAATCGTGAAGGAAGGCAATCAAGTGAAGGAAAACAATCGAGGAAGGCACCGAAAGGAAAACAATCAGTGAAGGAAAAGGCAATCAGTGAAGGAAAACAATCGAGTGAAGGAAGGCACCGAAAGGCAATCAGTGAAAACAATCGGAAATCAATCGAGTGAAGGAAAAACAATCGAGTGAAGGAAAAACAATCGAGTGAAGGGAAGGCAATCACCGAGTGAAGGAAAACAATCACCGAGTGAAGGAAAAACAATCGAGTGGAATCAGGAAGGAAAACAATCGAGTGAAGGAAAACTATCAAGTGAAGGAAAGGAAGGCACAATCAAGTGAAGGAAAAAAAATCGAGTGAAGGAAGGCAATCAGTGAAGGAAAACAATCGAGTGAAAGGAACACAATCGAGTGAAGGAAGGCAATCGAGTGAAGGAAGGCAATAAAGTGAAGGAAGGAAAAAAAAAGGCAATCGAGTGAAGGAAAACTATCGAGAAGTGAAGGAAGGCAATCGAGTGAAGGAAAACAATCGAGTGAAGAAAACAATCGAGTGAAGGAAAACAATCGAGGAAGGAAAACAATCGAGTGAAGGAAGGCAATCGATTGAAGGAAGGCAATCGAGTGAAGGAAAACAATCGAGTGAAGGAAGGAAGGCAATCAAGAAGGGAAGGAAAACAATCGAGTGAAGGAAGGCAATCGAAGGAAAACAATGAAGGAAAACAATCAGTGGAAAGAAAACAATCGAGTGAAGGAAGGCAATCAAAGTGAAGGAAAACAATCAGTGAAGGAAGGCAATCGAGTGAAGGAAAAATAACGGAGTGAAGGAATGCAATCGAGTGAATAAAAACAATCAGTGAAGGAAAACAATCGAGTGAAGGAAAAACAATCGAGTGAAGGAAAACAATCGAGGAAGGCACCGAGTGAAGGAAGGCAATCGAGTGAAGGAAAACAATCGAGTGAAGGAAAACAATCGAGTGAAGGAAGGCAATCGAGTGAAGGAAGGCAATCGAGTGAAGGAAAACAATCGAGTGAAGGAAAACAATCGAGTGAAGGAAGGCA